ATTTATAAAAATATTTGCGACGGATTTTGTCCGTCGCAAATCCGTCGCAAAACGCAGATTTTGTTTTTTTTTTATAAAAAAAAGTATGTGCGACGGATTTTTCTGTCGCAAATCCGTCGCAAACCGCAGATTTTGTCCGTCGCAAACTTGCGACGAAGTTTGCGACGAATTAACGACCGCCAAATTTTTGCGACAAATTTGCGACAACGATATACGGACGGAAATTATTCCGTCGCTTTCTGTCGCAAATTTGTAATTGCGACGGATTTTATTTATGTTTGCGACGGATTTGTCCGTCGCAAATTGAGATGTTTCTTGTAGTGGTTCATTGTTTCGCTCATCAACTTCAATTGGTTGTTTTAGCGGTTGTGAAGGAACTATTTGATGTTGGAAATTTTTTCGATATAATTTCAGTTTTGTTAAAATTGGTCGGAGTTTCTTGCAAAAGAAAAGACATGGTTCGGAAAAATCATCGAATGAGAGTGAACAAAAGAATTAATAATGGCGAGATTATTACAGAAAAAAGGTTTAATCAAGACATTACTCTTCAAAAATGTGGAAATATGCATTGAAGATCTCATTACAAAACATTGTTGTATTTTACTGAGTTGTTTTCTTCTAGCATTGAGGTGCTTGACTATATTGAGAATGACGATACAGGTGTTGTCAAAAGACGTCAAGCCAAAGGTTTGCTTAAATACTTCCACACATTTGATTTTGTGTTCTATCTACATCTGATGTTGCTCAATTCTAGGATTTGAATAATTTATCTACAGTTTTGCAAATGAAAGAGCAAGACATCTTGAATGTTATTTCAATGGTGAAGTCTACAAAAAGATAATTATAACAAAAAAGGGATGTTGGATGAAATTTGTTTTTAGATCAAGTGTATTCTTTTTGTGAAAAACACAATATTGAGAAGATCAATATGAAGAAAAATTATGTAGATTTAAGGAGGCCAAGAAAAAAGCCAGCATAAATAACTTGCATCACTATCAGATAAATTGTTTCTATTCTATTATGGATTTACAGATTCAAAAATTTAGTGATCGATTTAATGAGATAAATTCAGAATTGCTCATTTCCATGGCAGCTTTAAGTCTGACTGACTCATTTCGTGAGTTTAGCATGTCAAATTTAGTGAAATTGGCTCGATTTTATCCCAATGATTTCAGCTCTTTGGAGCAGATATCTCTTCAACATGAACTCCATAATCTACATCAACAATTTGATGAAAAAAGAAAAGTTTTCTAATTTGACTAATATTGGAGTTCTTACTTGTATTATTGTGGAACCAAAAAACCCTCTTTATTATCTATTGGTATATAGAATTTTGAAATTAGTTTTGATTTTGTCCGTTACCACTGCGATTGTTGAGAAAAGTTTTTCAGTGATAAACTTTGTGAAGATTACTCTGCGCAACCGAATTGTAGATCAGTTTTTCAGTGATTGTCTAGTTTGTTTTATCGAAAAATATATATTTTAAATGGTTACAAATAAAGTTGTTATAGATAGGTTTCAAAAAACTGAAAAATCGTAAAATTCATTTGTAGGACGTAGATATTTTTATAACGATATATTTTTTATTAATTTTTTTATATTTTATATATAATTTTTTATGAGTGTCCTAATAAAAAAAGTTTCTGGATCCACTATTGTTAAATTTAATAATTAATATTTATATGTATTATGAATATGGTGAAAGATAGAACCGTTTAAAACAAGAAAAAATAACATTTTTCTACACGACTTTAGCAAAATATGATCTTTTCATACACATATTTTTAATTTGATAAAAAAACTACACTTGAATTCAAAAATTTTCAAATATCTACATGAATTTTTAAAATTAACAGTCATTGCATAAATAATCATCATTTTCGTTAAAAAATTTTGGATTCTATTGACTAATGCACTGACGTATATGGTAGTTACATTAATTACCTAACTGATGCATTAGTTAACAAAATCAAAATATTTTAACGAAAATGATGATTAAGTATGTATTTACTGTTAATTTTAACAATTCGTGTAGATATTTGGAAAATTTTGAATAGAAATATAATTTTTTATCAAATTAAAAATACGTGTATGAAAAGATCCTATTTTGCTAAATTCGTGTAGGAAAATATCATTTTCCCTTAAAATAATGTACAAGTGGTTCTTCAATACAGACCCCATAATTTAGGTAGACGTCATATTTAAAAAAAATATTTTTAAAATAAATTTATTAGTTTAAGATTAATATTTATTAATATATATTTAATAAATAATTAAAATCAGATGGAAAAATCCCAAAAAAAAATAACGAACTTGGAGATAGCTGACATATTAATACCGAACTTTTTAAAATTTTAAATTAAATATGAATTCGTCAATTTTGACATAAAAAATACTGAACTTGTAAATTTTTGATAAAAATCCCATCGATGTTAAACGGCGTTAAATCAGTTAACTAAAATCTGATGTGGCGGATGACTCAATGTCTGTCATCCGCTACATCATATAAGAATTTATTTTAAAACTAAAAATAATTATAATTACAATTAAAAAATAAAAAAATAAAAAATAAATATGTATATTTATATATATATATATACACAATATTTATACAAAATAAAAGTAAATATTAAATGTTAAATGTGTATATTTATATATATATACACATATATATGCATATGTATATATATACAATATATAATATACAATATAGATATATATATAAATATATACATATACATAAAATAGTAAATATTAAATGTGTATATTTTTATATATATACATATATATACATACATATGTGTATATACAATATATATGTATATATATGCACATGTAAATATATACATATATATATACATTTATCAATTCATATGTATATATATACATATACATATATATATATATATATGTATTAATATACAATATATATGCAATATATACACAACTATATATATATATATTAAAATAATTGTAATTACATTACAAATAATTAAAAATATAATAAACATTTTAAAATTCACACATATATTTATATACATTAAATAGTAAGTATTAAATATATATATATATACATACATATACAAATTTAATATTTACTTTTTTATGTATATGTATATATTTGTATATATATATACTGTATATATATTGTATATTGTATATTGTATATTTTTTCTTTTTGTTTTTATTTTTACTTTTACTTTTTTTATTTAATTTTAAATTTTTTATTTTAAATTTTAATTTCAATTTTAAATTTAAATTTCAAATTTTTAGTTTTGATTTTTAGTGTTTTATTTTTTTTATTTGTTTTTATTTTTATTTTTATTTTTATTTGTTTTTATTTTCTTTTTTTGTTTTATTTTTTTATTTTATTTTTTATTTTTTAATTAAATTTTTATCTGATATGACCGATGATGAGGCGTTGAGTCATCTGTCATGTCAGATCAGCCGTTAATCGATTTAACACCGTTTAACGTCGATGAGGTTTTTGTTAAAAATTTACAAGTTCAGTATTTTTTGTGTCAAAATCGACGAGTTCATATTTAATTTGAAAATTTGAAAAGTTCGGTATTAATATGTCAACTATCTCCAAGTTGGATAATTTTTTGGGGATTTTTCCAAATCAGATTTGTCATCTCTTGATCCTTAAAATTAGGTCAAGGATATACTTATAATATTTTTAGTAATAATTATAATTTTTAGTCACTTTTTACCATTGTGATATTAAATTTATTAATTAATATAATTAATAATTATAATTTTTTTCTATAAATATAAAATAAATCTCTATAATCTTACACTATCCATCTTTTAAATTCAAAAATTGTTATTACAAAATCATTCTCATATCTTATTCTTGGTTTATATTTTTATTTTACGAACATCATAAATCTTAAAATATTATATTATCAATGTTTATTTTTTTTAACGATAACATTATCATTCCATTGTATATTTATTGTTCTTTAACAACAACATATAGAGATATTTTTGCTTCAAATAAAGTTAGAAAATGATATTATTTATGTGAAAATTGATACATTGTATTATTTCGACAAATCTTTATTTTTTAAAATACAATTTTTCATATTAATATAATATAATTCATAATAGGTAATATCTAAATATTAAATATTAAATTATAAATTTTATATTTTAATAATAAAAATAAATATTTTGTATATAGAGCTCTAAAAATATATGAGACAGATTTGGTGGATGGGTTATATATTCGTAAATTATATGATATGGATCGATAAAATATATATTTAGTTTGTTAGTGAAACAGTAAAATATATATTTAGTTCGTTAGTGAAGCAGTTTGGTTCGAGGTATAACTCAATCGGAACTGGTGTTCTGAGTAGAAACTTCATTTTGTAAAGAAATTTGACACGATATTATCAGGTATAATTCGCACCATATTAGGTGTAACACATTTCGTGTCAGATATAACTCGAACCATGTCAGTAACATGAAGTGTCAGTGTAAGGTATAGCTCAACTCGAACTGGAGTTTCGAACAAAAATGAACTCATGCGAACGTGTCAGTGTAAGTTCCGCGAGGTTAACAAAACTATTGGAATCTCCTACAGAAAAATGTCACTAGTCCGGACACCTACAATTTCAACTTCCAAGATCCCTACTTTTCATACAAAGACGTTAAGAAGGACACAAGCCGAATCCAAATTCAGCATTTTCGCCATGATTAAATCCAGAAGCCAGACTCAAACACACCACCAGCAAGAAAGAAAGAAGCTAATCTCATAACGAGCGAATTGTGGATTCTCGATTCCAAACGATGTCGTTTTGGGAATAGTGTTCCAGAATGTCAACTGCGGGTGATGAAGACGACGAAAAGAGGTTCGTTAATGTCAACTGCGGTGACAGCCAATACTATCACTGTCACGCTAATTGTCTGCCACGTGTCACTTATTTCCCCGACTCACCTCCAGATAAACCCGCCCACCTGGCTCTGACTCTCAAGCGTGTCTTTATCCTCGAAATGAGCAACACACACAAAAAAGGAGATGAAAAGGATTGTGACTTTTGCATCGACCCATTCGATTTTCTCTCTCTAGAGATTGAAAAAGAGCTCTGTTGATTTAGAGAGAGAGAGAGAGAGAGGAGATGGATCACGCGGCGGATGCTCACCGTACGGATTTGATGACCATAACGAGGTTCGTGTTGAACGAGCAGTCAAAGTATCCGGAGTCTCGTGGGGATTTCACGATCTTGCTCAGTCACATCGTTTTGGGCTGCAAATTCGTTTGCAGTGCTGTGAATAAGGTGAATGTCGAAAATTGAGCTTTTCGGATGATGATAATCAACGGGTGACTGTAAAAATCTCGTTTTGCCTTTGTTCTTGGAATCATCATTGGATGGTAAATGCCGATGGCCCGGTGGGTCAAAAGGGACTCTTTCTGTGTCCTGCGTTCGGGATTTCGTTTTCAACTGTTTGAATCAGAATTTACTTTTATACAGTCGAAGTGGTAAAAAAACAAAAAACAAATCTGATATTTTGATTTTGCCTATTTGTGCATACATGTGAACGCGTGTATGAATACGAGCGATCACCAACACAGTTAGAGATTCTGAAATTTCTTTATTTCCAGTGATTGATTCGCTTTTGTTTTTGGTCCTTGATCCGTATAAGAGGAGATTCTGAAATTTTGAGCAAGCTTGCATCTGTTCTATGTATCGCGTTAATGATTTGGCCACAGTTATATGTTTGTGTGATCATTTGTTGGATATGTTATGTGGTACAGGCAGGTCTTGCAAAGCTCATTGGACTTGCAGGGGAGACCAACATTCAGGCAAGTCCTCGCTTTCCTTTTAACATCTTATAATTCGTTGTTCCTGTTTCCGAAAGGCGTTTCTGTATCCTTTTGTTCTTGCTTTGATTTCTCCGATTAACCGTGTTCATGTTGGATTTTGGCGAATTTACCTTCTCCCCGAGTATAGGGTGAAGAGCAAAAGAAGCTGGATGTGCTGTCCAACGACGTCTTTATCAAGGCTTTGGTTAGCAGCGGAAGAACAGTAAGTTTATTTTTGTGATAATTCGGTAGTTCAACGAGCCTTTGGCCCAATTACATCTCTCAGAAGATTCAGGATTGCCTAACCGTGTTTTCTTTAAATGTGCCTCGGGATTGGAATCTTGTGTCAGTCGATCCTTGTCTCAGAAGAAGATGAGGAAGCAACTTTTGTGGAATCACCTAAGCGGGGAAAGTAATTCTACTTTCTCTTGGTGTCTCTGTAATATCGATATCGATCTTCTTAATGTCGGTTTCTGTGATATGGCGTATGATCTTCTGGTTCTGATACTGTAGGTACTGTGTTGTTTTTGATCCGCTTGATGGATCCTCAAACATAGACTGTGGTGTTTCCATTGGAACGGTGTGTTTCTTTCTATAGAGCTCGATCACCACATTTATGATAAGCCCTCATAATGTACATATCTTTGCTTCTTGTTTCCGTCTTAGATTTTCGGGATTTACACAGTGAAGCACAGCAATGAACCAACCATCGATGATGTCCTGAAACCGGGAAGTGAGATGGTGGCAGCTGGGTATTGCATGTACGGAAGCTCTTGCATGGTAACTGCAAAACAAAACTTGCATGGCAATAACGAAACATCGAAAAAACACCAATCTGATCTCTGAAAGTTTCTTGATTTACATTGAAAAGCAGTTGTTTTTATTGATTTGATTCTCAGCTTGTGCTGAGCACTGGAACCGGAGTCAATGGATTCACCCTTGACCCGTCTCTTGGAGAGTTCATACTAACTCATCCTGATATAAAGGTAACTGGAGAACCCGTCTAAGATAACCGTTTCCTTCGCCGAATTAAGTTCTCGATATTTCTTTGTCCTTGCACGCAGATTCCGAAGAAAGGAAAGATCTATTCTGTGAACGAAGGAAATGCTAAGAACTGGGATGGTGCAATTACCAAGTATGTGGAAAGCAAATTATCGTGTACCGTATAAAGAAAATCCGGTACTGGTTCCTAATGCATTGTACTTATGTTCTGTTTTTTCTGTTGGTCTAGGTACGTGGAGAAGTGTAAGTTTCCCAAAGATGGTTCGTCCCCGAAGTCTCTGAGATACGTCGGAAGGTAATGGAAAATATTTTATTTACCATTGATGTGTTGATTATAGGATACAAAATAATGCTTTGGGAGATTGTTTTTCCATTGTCTAAACAGTATGGTGGCTGATGTCCATCGCACGCTGCTCTATGGAGGTATCTTTTTGTACCCTGCCGACAAGAAAAGCCCCAACGGTAAATTGCGGTAAGCTTACCATAAGACCCGGGATTACGGTTGGATTGAGAACTGCATACCAATTTGAAGTGCCCTTTTTTTATTCTGTCTTAAAATCATGGACAGTGTCCTCTACGAAGTCTTCCCGATGTCATTCTTGATGGAACAAGCCGGAGGTCAGGCCTTCACGGGCAAGGGACGGGTAAATTACGCTTTTATCCTTTGACAACCGTATAGTTTTCCAGCTAGAGGTGACCATTCGTGACCCAATTCAAGACAGAGAGTCCCGGTTTCGGTTTAGGTTTAGGATTTGTGTTGGTCGTCGGGTTTAAGGACATCTTCCTGTGTTGTGCTCATTGATATGACTGATTCTCTACCTATGAATTCGACCCCGAGCCTAAATCTAGGATGCTTTTAGGATCGAATAAGCCGTTAAATACCCAAGAGTTTGGCTTGGTATCGGGTTAAATCTGACATTGAACGGATTCTGCAGGCGTTGGATCTCGTCCCGAAGGAGATCCACCAGCGGTCACCGATATTTCTGGGAAGCTACGACGACGTAGAAGAGATCAAGACTCTCTATGCTTCAGAGAGCTCATGAAGGCATAAAGCTCCTTCCTTAGTCTCTGTTTCTGTCTTCATGGCTTTTGCTCTGCCATGAGATGATGTTATTACATCATCTTCACTATTCTATTGACATTTGCCTTAAAGGCTTTTACCGAAGAATTTCCGCATTTAAGGAGTTTGTGGGTTTACTCTTTCATGAATATTATTCTTATTAGGGGTAATCACGTAAAAATACCCGAATTTTTACAAAAATCCCAAATAAATACCCGAACTATAAAATTGTCATATTAATACCTGAACTTTTCAAAACTCTTACATAAATACCCATATTTTTAAATTTTTTCCAAATAAAACAAACGCAACTGCTTACTCAGCAAAAAACTACTGACTCATCAAAAAAACTGCTGACTCAACATTCAAAAATATTATTAAATATCCAAATATTCATCTACATGTATTTAAATTAATATATGCATATAAATTCACATATATATACAAATATATATATATATATATATATATATATATATTAAAAATAAAATTATTTATAATTAATAAAACACATATACACATAAC